AGCTCAACTTGAGGGCATAAACTATCTGTATGGAAAACCGTTGGCTCAGAAAAGAGAACAGAATGCAAACAGTAAGTTTCTCTCAAAGTATTGCCTACTTTTCTCACTATTGAACGACCGAATTTTTCTGTACCATTTGTTCGAGACGTCTGTCCCCACGCCAAATGCGACTGTACATATTGACAAGGTGATCATTAGCTCTTCATTCGAACGGATTTCTTTCCGGAACATTTCCCATAGCCGAAACATTTCCCACCACAAATTCAGACGTCCTTCTTTAAATTCGAAAACTAACATAAATGGATCAGCGCGAATTCCTTATATAATTTTAGAGAGACGAATTCTGTAGTTATCTCTCGAGGAACAAAGGATAGTTTTGGGACCAGTCATTTAGGTGGGGATCGATCACATATGGCGTTCAGGGGGCGGTCAGTGTAAAACGCAGACTGCAGAACGCAGACCAAGGGTAAAATGCAGACTCGGTTCTTTAGTTGAAATTTATGGACATTTCTGGTCTCTCTAAATTATTAAACTTAAAAAAGGAACTTAAGACTTCTACCTGCTCTTAATTTTTTTTCATTTATGGAAGACTCCGTCATTTTTCCAGTGAATTAAAACACGTCACAGCAAAACTAAATTTCTCAGGCATCCCTTGTCGGCCAACAGGACGCCTGACATAGGTTAAGTTGACCATGATAGCCGCAGATTTACCTCGGGTTAATACTGAAGTGAAACACCGAGCGGAATAAGAAAGGCAAACACCCGAGGTTTTTTGGAGGTTTTTGGTTAGACCCTTATCTCGTACCCACAAATTTGCATTAAATTTAAAGAATTTGCACGCCTAACTTGGCAGTACAAAACAAAGGTATGAGAAACAGGTTGTTATTGTCCAAGTAATCGAAACTGCTGATGTGTGATGAAAGTCTATCATTACTACTTCCAAGGCTAAACAGTTTACATGAGCTACATGTATGTTAAAGCTGTCTCGTGCTGCTCATCAGAACTATTTATTCCTTAACAAGGGGAATGTATTTAGCTCGTTGTGAACTGCACATTCAAACACTTACGTTTCTAATCGTTCTTACCTTAAAACAATAAGTCACTTCTGAGACACAACGGAGCTACGTTCTCGACCCAGTTTCTTACCGATATTTTTGCTGCGCGCGCCGTTGTCAACTGACGTTCCTGTTCTCTTGCTAAATCATTCTATATGCACCTGTTGCGTTTATAAAAAGTTCTTCAACTGTTTCTCATCGGAGCAGGTCATGAATGGAAAGGTATTAGGAAATCGTATTTTATTCAAAAGTGCGTTGAGAATCACAGCGATAAACAACTTGAACGGCATAATATGACTCAGGATAAATAACCATTAAAATATATAAAATATAAAAAGCACGAAAAGTCCAAGGCGTGGGTATGAATCTGACAACTGAGGGTAACGTGGGCACACATGATAGGGTGTACATTGTAAAGTATGTAGAAAAAATCCTCAGAGATCACATCACACAATCAATATCATAAAAGTGGTTATAAACTCCACACTCCGGAAGATAAAAATGTGCAAAAATACAAACCACTCGAGTTTCTTGGTTGACGAGTTAAGCGAAAAGTTGCTCTCGTAAAAATTCTAGTTCCAGCTATTGAATACGAAACATTTTTGTCAGTATATTCAGTTTTCATCACTCCACAAAGGTGAGGAAAATTAGTCTTTGATGTTTAACTCGATTAAAAAGTAGAACAGGCCTCCGAACTGGGTCCTGCCAAAACTTGGTCACTCGGTCTTTCCCGCAGCCCATGTTTGCATGTTTGGGATGTCACGCAACAACGTTCCTACTGCGTGACATGACATAACAACGTGACGAGGTACCTCTATATTTGTGGGATTGCTAGCAACTTGAAGCTGTGATCTTCATCGCCACATGAATATCAGACTTAGCCACTAAGAAAGATAACTGCTTCCCTGCTTCACGGATTTGCTGCATGGCACTGAAAAAGAAACAAATTTCCATTTAGACACAAGGGTTACGATTTTGAGAACCAGTAAAATCTTCATGTATCACGGCAATAAATTTAGTAGTATCACTCAAGGAACACTCAAATCCAAGCCGCCTACCTTTGATAATCGGCTCCAACGAGACTGGTTCCATTTACAGCAAGGATACGATCACCAAGACGAAGCCGACCATCCTACACAAAAAAGATGAAGATTACTAGAAGCGCCCATAGAACAACCCTCAACTCTAGGAAGGCCCTCCCCCCCCCCCCACCACGTCTTTAACTTCAAGACTGTAATAAGTCTCTCTCTCTCACAGTCCCCCATTCTCCCATTCCTTCCCCCCCCCCCACCCCAAACCCTGCTCTCTGGTAAATCCCCCACCATCGAGCCTTAACCTCTAGAAATTAGTAAGAGCGGGGGCCGGGGAGGGGTGGTGGGAAGAGAGGAGCAAACCAGAGCGATTGCGGGACTTCAAATGTAATGGCATTCAATTGATGGCGGGGAAACCCTTTGACTACTACCCCTGTTTCGAATGTTTCGACCACTTAAATGCGTTTATCATCATTAATAAAATACCATAGGAGTGGATGTCTTTTTTTATTTTGGATGCCAAAGATTACAGGACCATCATAATTACACTGACCTTTATAGCTGGTCCTCCAGCCACCAGGGTCCGGACATAAATCCCGGGGGACCGTAATGGTGTGTACTACAAATGAAAATGAACGATAAATGTCTTACGTTTCATATGACGACTAATATGTACAAGTAGTTTACAAGCACAGGAAGGTGTAAGGAATGTCTTACGACCTTGTAACCGGTACTGATCCCAGTTTCTTTAAGATAAATCGTCAGCGAGGATTGTTAATTCGGACCAATGCCAGTATCTACACAACTGCGCCTCGACATCTGCCTAGTTTATCAGTTGACAGTTGTTGGGTCAGGGGAGGGGTAGGTGTGCATTTGTTCAAATACTAACATTGATCCGTTACTTTTCTTCGATGAGATGAAAGTCCTTCGCAGGCAACCGGGAAGGAAATCGTCCAGCTTCATTGACAATTTCACTGACTTTCATATTCTTTTGTTTAGAAGACATTGTGAGCGTAATATGTAGTGTTCAAGAGTACAATACAATGACCCACCTTGGGTTGAACTCAGACCTCTCGATCGGAAGTCGACCGCGCTAAACACTGTGCCAGTGCACCTCCCATAAACGTTAAAAACGCGTTCTCAAATGCACAGAAAACTAGTAAGCGCGGGAAAGTTGTGCTATTGATGCGTTAAAGCAACTTATGTTCTTCGGAGCTGGGTAAGAACTAAATGGACTCCGAACACAAAGATTACAAAATAACCAGCCCTTACCAGACCGTCAATGAGTCCCAAGCCTATTCCTTCGTCTCCTTTCTCCAGCTCTACAATAAACACGTCATCCTGTCGGTCATCATTTTCCCTCATACCCTCCAGTTTGGCCGGTGAGTCACTTGTACCTTCAGGTATTTCTCCTCCAAGATCAACATCGGATTCATTTCTCAAACGGCTCAAAAGCTTCGCCTTCTGAAGCGCTCGTCTCTCGTCGAATTCCTTAGAAGTTTCAACCGTTGGGTCTATCGCTATCTGTAAAGCTAGTTCTTCGTTCGTTTCTGAGTCGTCCACCGGAAGTACTGACAATCCGTCTGCAATGTTTACGGCATCACGCGTCACGGCACCAGTAACTTCAACCCACTTGGAGTTGTCGTTCGTGTACGGCGAAGCTGCTCTTCTCTCCGGCACAGCTGCCATGTTTTGATTTTCATCCTTGACTTCTATCAGGGGTACGTCTAAGAGACAGAAAGAACAATTATATTATAAATGGTTTAATCTTGGGAGCGGTAACAGTTGATCGTGTGGTCTGATTGTCCTGAAAAGTCGAATGAATCTAGCTCTGCATTACCATGACGACTACTTACGCTTAGGTTTTCGATACGATAATATTTGAAAACGTCAGAAAACAGATGACTTATTGTTCTAACAACCTGAAGCCCTGGGGTCTTTACTCTCCAGTGTTCTGGCAGACACCACAGAAGGGTCCTCATCGGACAGCCCAGCGGAATCACGTCCCTCTAAACGATTAACTGGAGAACTGGATCTGGAAGGAATCTTTTGGCCTGAAACTAATCTGGAAAGGGGACGCTTTCCACCATTAGCAAATTCGGAGTTCTCTGCCAGAGATGGATCTGATGTTCTTGGTTTATTTGGCGACGCATCCCTATCTCTAGGGGGAGTCTCCCTTCTCTCAACAGAGGCGACAGATCTCTTTTCTTTGGGAACACTTGTTTCGTCCTCTGAAAAATAATTATAAAACAGGTGACGCCTAAGGTTAATTTTATCTTTCATTAACTCTCACAACTGGAAAAACCAATCGCTTGGAAGCAGTTGTTCAATTATTTTCGTACTTCACACTCCTCAAGTCCCATATATTTTTCTTTGTTCCTCTCTCGTGACAAGAGGCATCATCTCTCTTTGTGGAGTAACCTTTCTCTGGAGCGGTTCTAAGTTGTTTTCTCTTGTTATACTAATTTAACTACTTTTTTCACCTTTCATGTGTGT